GTTTTACTTATCTTTCTACCCGGTGTCATTAATTGGGTTCTATGACATCACAGGTCCTCCCTGTCCTCCTCATCCTCCAGCAGGAGGCAGCAGAGAGCGACACAGCATGGTGTGCCCAGAATAGGGGGAGGAGCCCTGACACCCTGGACTCACAGGAAGTGGGTGAAAGACACTGGGCGTCGCTGAAATGGATCCACAAGGGGGGGGCAATGCTGGAGATCGGGTGAGTATGGCAGCCAGACACGTTAACAGGTTCATTCTGGTTTTATATACAAAGCCGGGTTGGTTAGGTTGATTGGGGCCCTCAGACTGTAAGGTCCCTGAGGGCGGGGCCAATATATAAAATGGTTCTCTATAAATATCAGTAATAGGAGTTCTGTCTGGCAGCAGTAGGCGGATCACATGACGGGCTGAACGGCATTGAAGCTCCTCCAGCATATACGATCCTCCTCGTGTGATCCTTCAGCTCATCTACTTCCTGATCTTCTTCCTCAGTCACATGGTCAGGAAACGTTCTCCTCATTGTACTGGACGGCCGGCCAGCTGCAGACCCCCATCTACTTCTTCCTCCTCACCACCGTCCTCGGCGTCTCCTCCACCATTGTGCCTGGATCTCAGGACAGAGGCATTTCCTTCCTGGGATGCGCCTCGCAGATGTACTTCTCCCTGGCTCTCGGGGCCACCGAGTGCATCATTTTGGCGGTCATGGCCTACGACCGATACGTGGCCATCTGCATCCCTCTACGGTACCAGGTGATCATGCGCCGGAGCTTCTGCCTTTCTCTGGCCGCTCTCTCATGGACTGTCAGCTTCCTGAACTCTGTGATCCACGCCGTCCTCACCTTCCGGCTCCCCTACTGCAAGTCTAACCTGGTCCGGCACTTCTTCTGCGAGATGCCACCACTCTTCCGGCTCTCCTGCAGCGACACCTTGTTCAATGAAGTTGCCGTCTACATCTCCGTGGGGCTCATCGCTCTTTGCTCCTTCCTGCTGACCCTGACCTCCTATTTCCACATCATCTCCACCATCCTGACGATCGGCTCCAACAAAGGCCGATCCAAGGTCTTCTCCACCTGTGGCTCCCACCTGGCCGTGGTCTCCCTCTACTATGGCGCCATCGCCTTCATGTACCTACGACCTCGCTCCAGCTACTCCCCGGACCGTGACCGGGCAATTTCCATGCTTTATACCGTGGTGACCCCCATGCTGAATCCCGTCATCTATAGCATAAGGAACAAAGAGGTCAAAGGGTCATTGAAACGGAGGCTGGCCATGAGGAGGTCTATGTGGTGCCATAGGACAACATACATCTAAAGCGGACCTGTCATCACATCTATGTACTCATCTCAAAGCCCAACTCCGGGGACATGAGAAGCTTTCACCGGCAGTGGGGCGGCCCCATGAATGGTTAAGTGCTTGTTGACGTCTAGAGGTCAGGAAACGGAGGCTGGCCATGAGGGGTTCTAGATAATCTGGTCAATGGGGTGCCAGCAGCAGACTGATGACATCATCCCGAGCTAGGTGATGCCACTGGGCTGGAGCTCGAGGGCCTCCTATTAATGGAGGAGGAACCTCGCACTGGAAACACAGAGTAAGGGAAAGTGAAAGTGAAGAGAGACTGAAACTCCTCACCGAGCTGATTATCATTCTTATTAAGGATCCGGCTGAGCTGCAGCTTCAAGACTTACTCACAGCAGTCTGCAGTATATGGTCCATGGAGGATGGATGAGGGAGGATGGGAGGATGGATGATGGGAGGATGGACGATGGGAGGATGGATGATGGAAGATGGGATGTTAAAGGATGGATGATGGGAGGATGGGGGAAGGACCAAGGGAGGATGGATGATGGGAGGATGGATGATGGGACGTTGAAGGATGGACGATGGGAGGATGGATGATGGGACGTTGAAGGATGGACGATTGGAGGATGGGACGTTGAAGGATGGACGATGGGAGGATGGAGGATGGGACGTTGAAGGATGGACGATGGAAGGATGGATGATGGGACGATTGGAGGATGGGAGGATAGAAGATGGGACGTTGAAGGATGGACGATGGGAGGATGGATGATGGGACAATTGGAGGATGGATGATGGGACGATTGGAGGATGGATGATGGGAGGATGGAGGAAGAACCATGGGAGGATAGAGGGTGGGAGGATAGACCATGGGAGGATGGAGGGTGGGAGGATAGACCATGGGAGGATGGAGGATGGACAATGGGAGGACAGAGGATGGACAATGGGAGGATGGAGGAAGAACCATGGGAGGATAGAGGGATGGAGGATGGACAATTGGAGGATGGAGGAAGGACTATGGGAGGATGGAGGGTAGGAGGATGGGGGATGGAGGGTGGACAATGGGAGGAGGGAGGGTAGGAGGATAGAGGGTGGGAGGATAGAGGGTAGGAGGATGGACCATGGGAGGATGGACCATGGGAGGATGGGAGGGTAGGAGGATAGACCATGGGAGGATGGACCATGGGAGGATGGAGGGTAGGAGGATAGAGGGTGGGAGGGTAGAGGGTGGGAGAATGGAGGATGGACCATGGGAGGATGGAGGGTAGGAGGATAGAGGGTGGGAGGGTAGAGGGTGGGAGAATGGAGGATGGACCATGGGAGGATGGAGGGTAGGAGGATAGAGGGTGGGAGGGTAGAGGGTGGGAGAATGGAGGATGGACCATGGGAGGATGAAGGATGGACCATGGGAGGATGGAGGATGGAGGGTGGGAGGGTCCTACAAGAGGTAGTAAAAGTTCCATGATCGTCCGCTGTTCTGTGTTCGGAGCTCAGACACTCCAGAAGTCTCTCTGCAGAGATGAAAGTCTCATTGGACTCCAGAAGAACGATGTTGCGGCTCCTCGTGGCTTCTCTTCTCCTCCATCTCCTCTCAGGTAACGTCCTTCTCACTGATGGAGGTTCTAGACTCAGCCCGATGATGACTCCTCCGGTGGTGTCACTCATACCTCCCTTATACATATGAGGGGCTCTCGTACCTCCCTTATACATATGAGGGGCTCTCGTACCTCCCTTATACATATGAGGGGCTCTCGTACCTCCCTTATACATATGAGGGGCTCTCGTACCTCCCTTATACATATGAGGGGCTTTCGTACCTCCCTTATACATATGAGGGGCTCTTGTACCTCCCTTATACATATGAGGGGCTTTCGTACCTCCCTTATACATATGAGGGGCACTCGTACCTCCCTTGTACATATGAGGGGCTCTCGTACCTCCCTTATACATATGAGGGGCACTCGTACCTCCCTTATACATATGAGGGGCTCTCGTACCTCCCTTATACATATGAGGGGCTCTCGTACCTCCCTTATACATATGAGGGGCTCTCGTACCTCCCTTATACATATGAGGGGCTCTCGTACCTCCCTTATACATATGAGGGGCTCTCGTACCTCCCTTATACATATGAGGGGCTCTCGTACCTCCCTTATACATATGAGGGGCTCTCGTACCTCCCTTATACATATGAGGGGCTCTCGTACCTCCCTTATACATATGAGGGGCTCTCGTACCTCCCTTATACATATGAGGGGCTCTCGTACCTCCCTTATACATATGAGGGGCTCTCGTACCTCCCTTATACATATGAGGGGCTCTCGTACCTCCCTTATACATATGAGGGGCTCTCGTACCTCCCTTATACATATGAGGGGCTCTCGTACCTCCCTTATACATATGAGGGGCTCTCGTACCTCCCTTATACATATGAGGGGCTCTCGTACCTCCCTTATACATATGAGGGGCTCTCGTACCTCCCTTATACATATGAGGGGCTCTCGTACCTCCCTTATACATATGAGGGGCTCTCGTACCTCCCTTATACATATGAGGGGCTCTCGTACCTCCCTTATACATATGAGGGGCTCTCGTACCTCCCTTATACATATGAGGGGCTCTCGTACCTCCCTTATACATATGAGGGGCTCTCGTACCTCCCTTATACATATGAGGGGCTCTCGTACCTCCCTTATACATATGAGGGGCTCTCGTACCTCCCTTATACATATGAGGGGCTCTCGTACCTCCCTTATACATATGAGGGGCTCTCGTACCTCCCTTATACATATGAGGGGCT